TGTTAAATCACTGGAATAAATAGGCATGTTTACTTGCACACTGCTAATTCTCATTTGGACAGAAATTCATGTCATCCCCTGGTCCGTATGATGGTCCAATTACAGTTGATAAAATTGGATTATCTTTAATTAGTGGATCTGTCTCCTAGTCCAGCAGTCTGGTTAGACATATTTACCTTTAAATGTAATGACCTCAGACTTGCCGAGTTAAATGTCACCTCTGAGGAAAAGTGACTTTAAAAAAATCCTTTATACCCATGAAAGTACAAAAACAATTTCAATAAGGTATTGTAATGAAGCTTAATTAAAGTTTGCTAAGGACTTTGAGATCTCTGGAGGAGAAGAACAAAAGACAAGCAAAATATTATTTTCATTAAAGACCATATATGGCTGACACACTATGATGATTAAAACAGAAGTCCTCCAGTGTTTCATTTTGTTTGCAATGAGCACTCCTTTGCAGAAAGAATAAATACCTTGTGCTAAGAGGCCCAGTAGTTGCACTGTAGGTAAAGAGCTTGTGATGTCGTGCAAGAGATGTGTATGGAAAATCTCTCAATTTTGCTGTGAGACATACATAACAGTAAAGAATTCTGATTGATTTCTGTCAAATGACTAGTGTATGGATAAGAGTCTGACTTTTGAGAGAGGGCCTGCAGGAGGAAGGGCTATGTCTTCCTAGTAGATGCCAGTGGCCCTTTGAACAATGATACCTGCCTTTGAAGAACTGGAGAAATACCCCTTGGCTAAATGGAATTGGAAAAAGCCCAACACATCATTCCATGACATTCTCATTCTGGGAGAGATTGTGCTGTCACAGTGCATCGATGTGGGAGGCATCCAGGAATCACAGGGAGACACTGGAAGAGTTGGAAGCTCTCTAAGGCTTAATTTGACCCGGTCATTCCTTCTAGTATTTCTTTCTTGATCTTGGATAAAGGAAAAGAAGGGTGACTTTCTTCATTGCTCTTCTTGGCCAATGCATGTTGTTCTACTCCTCCCAATACTGCTGCCCTCAAATACTGGCCTTGGTTCCATTCCTCAAAGAAAGAGATTGTTCCCATTGCTGAGTGAGTGTGGGAAGGGAGAGAAGTCCTAGAGATAAAGATGATTGGAGCCACTATCTGTCTCCTTCAATTCAGGGCTATTCAAACTGTTTTTTATTCTTCCTGTTGGAAACACCTTTACTCCAGATCCTAAAGGTAATTCTCAATAAGGTATGTGAGAGGAGAGTGTGGGGAGAGAAAACGTAGATCAGAGGCTCTCAAACTGGGAAGATCTTGGAAGTCATTGCATATAGGCCATGACCCTTCATTTTATACATGAGAAAATTGAACTTCAGAAAACTAAAGTGACTATATCAAGGTCACTCTGCTTATACATTGTAGTAAATTTTATAACTCAGAACTCTAGAGCCAGTGCTCTTTTCACAGGTAAATATCAAGATTGTCTGAATGCCAGGCAGAGTGTTTGACATTCAATCAATGGGCAATAGGTAGCTGATGGATGGAGAGAGATGGATAGATAGATAGATAGATAGATAGAGATTATAGATAGATAGGCAGACAGATACACATACATATGTATGTAGTGAGTGAAATACACACTTTACTCATTACTCATATATGTTTATATGTATGTATATATATATATATATGAGAGGGGAGGAATGTGTGTGTATATACATACATATGTAATAGATATATATGTGTATGCACATATATACAGAGATATATAATATATGTATGCATGAGTATATATGATATGCATGTATATATATTATGTATATACACATACGTTTGCACAGCAGAGTGATGTGATTAGATCTGTTCAGTAGAAAGATTATTCTGGCAGCAGGATGTAGGATGGGTTGGTCAAGAGTGAGAGTGGAGGTAGGAACCCATGGTAGGAGAGAACTGTAATTTTTTTTTTAGATGAGTGATAATTAAGACCTTTTCTAGGGTAGTTACAGTGGGAGTTATGAGGAAGCAACATATCTAAGCAAGGTTGTAAACATATAATTGGCAGGCTTCTGCAGCCATTTGGATTTAGTGGCATAGGATTTAGACCTAGAAGAGACATCAAAGCCCACCTAGTTTAACCCCCTCATTGGACAGATGAGAAACTGAGATTCAAGCAGGCCAGATGATTAGCTAAAGGTAACTCAAATCCTGTTAGAAGTGAAGGAAGGAACTCTCTTCCCTTGACCTCTCCTAGGTAATCATTTAAAATGGTGAGGTACTCTCTTGATCCAGAGAACCCCACAAAATCATGCAAGTCAAGGGGTTCAAATCTCTAGGTTCACTTCAAGAACACCCATGAAACAGCCCATGCTATCAAGGGCATGCATATCCGAAAAGCTACCAAGTATTTGAAAAATGTCACACTGAAGAAACAATGTGTTCCCTTCGGCAATATAATGGTGGAGTTGGTAGGTGTGCTCAGACTAAGTAGTGGGGTTAGACACAAGGTCATTGGCCCAAAAAGAGTGCTGAATTTTTGCTGCATATGCTTAAAAATGCAGAAAGTAACACAGAAGGGTTTGGATTTGGATTCTCTTGTCATTGAGCATATCCAAGTTAACAAGGCTCCTAAAATGCAACAGCATACTTACAGGGCTCATGGTCGAATCAACCCATACATGAGTTCTCCTTGCCATATTGAGATGATACTTACTGAAAAGGAACAAATTGTTCCTAAAACTTCCTAAGAGGAAGTTGCTCAAAATAAAAAGATATCCCAGGAGAAACTGAAGAAACAAAAGCTTATGGTATGGGAGTAAATATGATATTGGAATGAAAATAAAAGTGAAATAAAAACAAACAAATAAAAAAAGTGAAGGAAGGAGAAGAGCCAATAGCACACCAAAGTTTTGAATGTGGAAGACCAGATGAATTGTAGTGCCCTTAGAAAACCACTAAAGCCAGTACTACTAAAGTCAGAATGAGGACTATTTGCAGAGGAAAATATAAGTTTTGGCCTTGTTGGACATGGTGATTTATTTTGAGATTCTAGTAGGACATTCTTATGGCTACTTCTCAGCTAGTAACCTCCAAAGTAGGGGACAGGAAGGGTACCTTGGGCAGGGAGGCTGTGAGATATCCACAAGGAGGCCTGTCTTTACCCTATGGGATATGTGATCAATCTCTCAAGAAGTAGGAAGATGAGTTGCATCCCACCTTCCCCATGATAACCAATAAGTTGGGCTTGTCTCTAGTAGAACTGAAATTATCCTTTACTCATTACTATCCAGCACTCCCCACTTCACCACTCCCACTACTGTTCCATATATGAACATTCCCCCTTCTAAGCCAGAAATTGGCTCCTAGAAGAAGTTATGATTCAAGCCCAACTATGGCAGCTGAATAGGTGTGATTCAGAAAATTCCATTCCCCTTCCCTCTAACATACACACATTCCAAGCCCTAGCATACCTTTCAGGAAATACACCGTATTTGTAGTGGTAGTGATAAAAAAAAAAAGTTTGGCAACTGCTCCTCTAAACAATTAGAGAAGTAGGTCTGGAGCTCAAAAGAGAAGAGAGTGGTAAAAATATAGATTTGGGAGTTATCTACATAGGAGTGATCCTTGAAACTCTGGGTGGAAGTGAAAAAAAAGGAGTGTAGAGAGAAGAAACTTCTGCTTCTGAAATCTTCACTTTTCTTCTCATTTAGTTTTCTCTAAGTCGTGAGCTTAACTTTAAAAGTGAGTCAAAATCATTTCTTCAACTTTGAGTTAGTGAAACTGTGGTTGAGAAGAAAAGGAAAGAAAAAATTTTCTTTAAACATTTTTCCACCAAAAAAAATGCTACCATTACTGAAAATGCCACGTGTTTCTTCTCCACATTCAGTTTTGTGGTAAATCTTTTAAAGTGATTCTATCCTGTTTGGAAATCAGTTGCTTTAAATTGGATCTATTTCATATAGTTTCTTGTGAGAGAATGTTGAAATTCTGCATTTGGAAATAAGATGAGTGGATGGCAGAATTTGGTGGTTCTCTCACTTGAAAATGCCATCCTCTGAGCAGAATGTATTTGTTGTGGTGAGAGATGCGAAAGGAAATCTTCAGAATGATTCAGAGTAAGGAAAAGTTCTGTTTAAAAAACAGCCAACTCGTCAATTTCAACTGTTTTGAAAATTGCTCTATTCTGAACCAGAAGGAATTAATCAGCATTTACTACTTGAAAAATTCTGTTTTTATTACAAATCCTCTTCCTGATTGTGTGATCACTGTTTTAAGAAAACAGAACTCCCCAATTATAACTCTATAGGGACTCAGACATAATACTTTTATCCCTCTCACTCTTTTCTGTGTATCAGTGATCTCTTAAGCTAAGGTGGAAACTACTTTTACTCAACTCATTATGTGCTGCTTTATGTTGGCAATTGACTTTCTGGACAAATATCTCTCTGGGGATCAAATGCCTCTCCAGGTATGTTCCTAGTAGCATTCTCTGCTGTTGGCTAAACTGTTTCAGTCTGTGTGCATTATTTCTGGAGACAAGGAGCTCTGGAGAGAATAAGGTCACTGGTTTCACATGCAGATCTAAACACTATCTTCCATGTGGCTCCGGGCGAGAAAAGGCAGGAAACGAAATGGCCAATTTCATCGCTTCTCTCTATTGCGGGGCTTCATCAAACAAGGCTTTGCGTGCGCAAACACACACACACACACTCACTCACTCACTCACACCACGGTACAGTCTTGTAGCCCAGCTGTGTGGAGCATTGATTGCTTCTGCCTGGAGCGGGGATGCTGTCAAGTTGCTCTGTGAGTTGAGTCATCTATTGACAAAGAGCTACCAGCCAGCAGATAATGCTGTGCTGAGCTGCTGCTCCCCGCTCCCACGATGCACTGCCTGTAGCAGCTGTCAAAGGTACTGAAGGGTCCACAGAAAAGGACTTTGCAGCTGCGTGGAGAAGGGGGGTCTGGGGACCGGGGGCAAAGGGGGCTGATTTTTCTCGAAAGCTGTCCAAGGAGACTAGTGGGCATCAGTGCCACATGAACGCCTACCTTACTAAACAGCAGAGCTGCTGCGGGGGGTCGGAGGGGATGGATGCTGGCAGGACTGTGCCTACAGTGATGCGGGAAGCTCACTGTGCCTGTGGCTGGCAGAGGAACCCACAGGGGCTCGGCTATGGGGCTCAGACCATGCCGTCTTCAGGACCCGGCGGCCAACCCCCAAACAGGACCAAGCTTGTCACCCTATGGGACAGTGTGCGGAAAAGTCCACAGAAAATGGGGGCTAAGAGCAAAGGGCCATGTGGGGAGCGCTGCTCCTGCCCCCAAGGCTGGTTTAGCTCCCCAGCACAGGTGAGCCTCTTCCTTGTGACTTTTAAATGTGCCTTCGGACACATGCTTTTGGAAAGTTGTGTCCTGCTAGCATTGCCTGCAAACTTTCCTTTGCTAAGTCTTTTTTTTTTTTTGCTCATTGTAGAAAGGATGCATTCTTGGGAAATGGGAGCGTGGGGAGCAGTAGCATGTCAGTGTTCCATGTCTCATCTGGATATCATCTCTGGGTGGTCTTTGAGAATCTTTGGATGCTATGGGGCAAGGTATATGTTTTTTGGAGGGGAGTCATTTTTCACCCAGCACAACTTCTCTGACACTTTAAAATTTCTCCTTATGTTGGTATTTTATTTAACAGCACAGTGACTTTACAAATATTACCTTTCTATTCGGAAGAGCCTAGCTTCATTTCCTTTTTGATCACAGAGAGAATATGAGTTTGAATCAAGCACTCCCTCCTCTCCCCCACCCCAACACAGTCATTTTAGAGACAAAAAAAAAGTTGATTTAATTTCTTATTTCATTTTCAGTTATAATGTTATACATCTTTCGATTTGGGAGAGGAAGATTTGCTTACATTAAATGACAGATCATACTAATTAAAGGCACAATTGAAAACAGTCTTATAACACATTATTTCACTGAGAATAAAACCTGGGGACATTTCTATTATTCATAGAGCAGTGAGATAACTATTAATAATAAAAGCTTGAATACTACTTCTTTACATTAATCCACTTTTGGAACAGGTGTTGCAGAAACTCCTAATCTGGACCTTTTCTGCTTGCCCCCAAACTATTAGTATTTCACTGGAAGCTAGCTCACTCATTTTAACAAGAGTGACTCTTTACCCTAAAACCCCCTTACTCTGAAAGGGGAAAATCAACCTGCTAACTAGGATAGGAAAAAAGAATGAACTGTATCAATAGTTATTTCATAAATACACGTAATCACACACACATATATGTATATATATACATACATATACACACATGTATATACATATACATATGTGTGTAAGTGTGAGTGAGTACACATAAAAATAAAACTATATTTTATTGGATTTGCCCTTTAAAATGACCTGGAAATAGAATGATAGAATTGTGGGAGAAAAGAACCATTTCTCAATTTTAATGTGATTTTAGCATAATAGAGAACTAGGTATTGATCTTATATTAAATTTTATGGCCTAGAAGCTGGCATGCATTTTAATTCTAATAGTGGCTTCTGAAAAGTGCTTCCAAGAGTATGTCATTGATCACTAGATCTTTGGAATATACTTAGGTGGCACTGGTTCTTGATTTCCTCCCTTAATATAAGGCTTTCAGAGTAGATTGCAGTTTTTCAGCATTTTTACCTTAGACTAAGATATACTATTAAACATACCTTCAGTATTTGATTTCAATTTGAAATCAAAATGAGTCATTTAGTTAAGTGCTAGTTACTAATTATGTATCAAAGTTAATTGCAATTCCCTTTGAATGATTAGTTTCTATAATATTTAAAAAAACATTTCCTATTATTGAGGAATATATGGATATTTCCCTTTGTATTTAAAACCACATTTAGCTAAATATGTCTATATCTTTTTTATTTATAGATATAAATATACAGACAGTAATAGATTGAGATGGTAGATAGATTCATGATTTAGAAATAAACTGGTTGGAAGATTTACATCAGGTGATGAAACTGAGTTAGTTTTATATACTGCTGTTTGACACAGTAAAGGAAGTATGCTTGTCTTAATATTGCATTCCTTTTTATACTAAATGTAACATAGTTTTTATATCATACAGTGATTAAATGCATTTTTTCTTCAACTAGAACTTGCATTCGTTCATGGAACAAATCTGTTTCTACTAAAGAATCTCAGTACATTTTGTCATAAACTGAGGACATCTCTTCCCTTCAATGGTTTAACAAAGTGACCTTATCACTTCAGCTTAATTTATAGCTACTTAATGCCTTTAAATATCAAAATTGGCTGTCCATTCTGAGAGTCTTCAATGATACAGTGATAGCATGAATGAGCAATACATTGAGGCTATCCTCTTTCCCAGAGCATTGAGGGTAGGGGGAGAGATTTAAGGGGGAGTGGGGAAGGGGATGTTTACATCGCTCTAATTTATTTTCAAAACTCTTTTTTCTCCTCTCATCCACATATTTACTTGATTCCAAGTAGTGACTCTCAAACATTTTCCTATCCTGACCTTATATTTGAGGAAAAGAAGTTGAAATTGCAGAATGGTACTAAATCCATTAGAGGTCCCTATCCTTGTTTTCCAAAAAGTACCAAAAGGGTGTTTAGAAAGAGATTATTGTGTGCTACAAAGAGTACTCATTTGGGGTTTCAGAAGAATTGCACTCTAGTCTTGGGACTCTTTGGGTGAGTCATGTAACTTTTCTGCAATTCATTTCTCTCTACTGCAAAATAAGGAGGAGGAACTAGATTTCTTAGGTCCCTTCCAGAGCTAAGATACTATGATTCTCTCTGTGTATACATCTAAAATGAATCAAAACATTTTGTTTTGGAAATTTGGGGGTACTCTTTAGCATGGGTATTTTTAACAGTGTTTTTGCCATGTCTGATGAAGTATATGGACCCATTCCCAGAATAATGTTTTTTTTAATTCATAATTGAAGGAAATGCTAACTTTCATTTATAGGTTAATGAAAAAAAGATGAATATTCCCATTCAATTTCATCTACCTACACCCTGAAATCTATCCATGGACTCTCAAAGACTTAAGAACCCTTGCCTTAGGGACCTTCTTAGAGTGTTGCAAAGATGAGAATGGATTTGGTGATGCCTAATGGCATGACATCCACAGTGAAGACAAAAAAGAAGTATTAATTTATGAATGTTCAGTTACTTACAAATAATTCCTTGAATCAGGCATTTGGAGGGATGGATATAGTCATGAAGCTTATTAACCTGCTCATCGATTATATGAGATCTTGTGAGAAATATATGGCCATTACCTGCAGCTAGGAGAGCTGGTCGTGGTAATGATTTGGGGACCTTTTATGCCCCTCTACTAAACTCCCAGAATCTTAGGTTCTCAGTGTAAGTAGCACTCTCTTCATAGTATTACTGTAATTCAACATCTTTATGTTGCAAGACAACCTCAAAGATTATCAAGTTTGAGGAATACATGAACAGCCTGAACTCCCTGACCATGGTCATCCTAACATGGCCTGAAGCACTTTAGCAACAAATAACTCCCCTTGGAGGCTGTCCATTCTACTCTTGTGCTAATTATAAGAAACATTTCCCAAGTAATTAACTGAAATTTGTCCTTTTATCACTCCTCTCCCCTCCCCGCCATTGTTTCTAGTTCTTCCCTCCATAGCCTTTATTAAATTGCCTCTTTGCTGATCTGCAAAAACAGCAACTTTCTCTCCGGAAAGAAGGTTCTGTTCTGTTTGAGCAGATAGAATTTAAATAGTTATATTTATGACCATAATAACAGGCAAGCATGTGGAAAATCATTAGGTTCAAAAGACCAGTTGTGGAATAAACATCTGCTCTGAAGAAGAGTCCTCCCTCTTGTGGTAAAGTGTACTTTCTTGGCTCAGTAGTCACTGGCTATTTGGCACCCTAGCCAATATGGCTAAAGGTAGGTTGACAGCTGGGTGTATTGGAAAGGACTTTGCTCAGAGCCTAGGGGACAGACATGATTCTTGCACTTCCTATCTTGTTACAACAATGTGACATTGGGCAAGTTATTCTACTTTCCTGAGTCTCAGTTTCTTTATCTGTAAGATGAGAGGATTGGAGTAGATGACCCTTAGGGCTCCTTCTATCACTAATATTTTGTGGCTCTGAAATTAACCTTATCAATCTATATGTATATGTGTTTTAAATCTAAAGAATTCACTAGCCAAGAAGTTAATCATTGTTAATGATGTCTTGCATGAAGTTTCTACTTTGTATATTGCATATTTTCCATGTGTTACTTTAACATTGCTTCAAGTTGGGCCAAGCAACTGTCCAGCAGTTTCCTGCAGAACACCTCATTATGCTGATGTGACATTTTGTCCCTCAGAGTTCTCAGAGACTATCAACAGAGCAGAGGCAGAATGTGGTGGTGAGTTTATTGGCCCTAGAATCAGAAGATCTGAGTTCTAATCTTGACTCTCCTCTGACCTGAGGAAAATCTCTTCATTTCTCTGAGCTATAATTTCCTTAATTAGAAAATAAAGTATTTAAAATACATGATCTTTAGCAAAGGAGGCAATGTGGTACAGTAGAAGGAGTACTAGCTTTGGAGTCAGGAGGTCTGAGTTCAAGGCTTGGCTCTGTTGCTACCTGTATAAACTTACTAAGTCACACCCTCCTAAAGTCTCATTTTTATCATCTGTCAAACGAGATGACTGGATCATGGGTGGGGAACCTGCGGCCTCGAGGTCATACATGGCCCTCTAGGTACTCAAGTGTGGCCTTTTGACTGAAATTTGTCTTTGACAAATTTGTTCTGTGAAGTTTGGATTCAGTCAAAGGGCCACATTTGAGGAACTTAGAGGGCCATGTGTGGCCTCATGGCCACAGGTTCCCCACCCCTGGACTAGATGATGTCTGAGTCCAGTCTAGCTTGAAATCTATGGCCTATGAGCCCATCTAGGTCTTACATACTCTAAGTTAATGATACATTGACACATTTTTCTTAAATGTGCTTAAAAAATAATAATTGCGTATGAAACACTCATCTGAGATTCCTAAAACCCAGTAAGGGACCCTTTTCCTCTCTACAACAGTTCAGCCAAACAACTTAAAGAGTCTTACAGCTTAAATAGTAGTAATTCACATGTGTTCATGCATACAACCACACACATACACACACACACACATACACACATGTACATGTGTATATTTATATACATACACATACAAGTTGCCCCAAAAGTCTTGATGCGCTAAAGCACTATCAGCTTAAAACTGCTCTAAGACTTTTGGGATGCACTATATGACTTGAAAATCTGCAGGTACTTTATGGATATCTCACTTGAGCCTCACAGCC